GCTTCAAGACCCCAGGGTTTCTTCAAGAACCCCTGTTTCTTCAATCCCCTGTGTCTTCAAGACCCCATTGTCTTCAAGACCCCAGGTTTTCTTCAAAACCCCAGGTTGCTTCAGTCCCCTGGTGTTCTTTCAAGACCCTTGGGTTTCTGCAAGACCCCGGGCTGTCTTCAGACCCTCGGTTGTCTTCGAAACCCCAGTTGTCTTCACAGACCCCTGTTGTCTTCAAGACCCCAGGTTTCTTCAACCCCTGTTTGGCTTCAAGACCCCTGGGTGTCTTCAAGACCCCTGGTTGTCTTCAAGACCCCTGGTTCTTCAAGACCTCCATGTTTCTCAAGACCCCCAGTTGTCTTCAACAACCCCTGTTTGTCTTCAAGGTCCTTTGTCTTCATGACCCTGCTTTCTCAAACCCTTGTTTTCGTCAAGACCCCATTGTCTTCAATACCCCTTGTCTCAAGACCCCGTTGGCCTTCAAACCCCTGTTTCCTTCAAGACCCCCAGTTTATCTTCAGACCCATGGTTGTCTTCAAGACCCTTGGGGTTTTCGCAAGACCCATGGGTGCTTCAAGACCTCCTGTTGTCTCAAGACCCCAGGTTGTCTTCAACACCTTTGTCTTCAGACCCCATTTGTCTGCAAGACCCCGGTTGTCTTTCAGACCTTGTGCTTCATGTCCCCTGGTTGTCTTCAAAGACCCCTGGTTTCGCAAATCCCATTTGTCTTCAATGACCCTCTGTTTGTCTTCAAGACCCCGGGTGGGGCTTCAAGACACCTGGTTGTCTTAAGACCCCTAGTGTCTTCAAGACCCCGTGCTGTCTTACAAGACCCTGGTGTCTTGAGAGACCCCGGGTTGTCTCAAGACCCCTCTGTCTTCAAACCCCCTGGTAGTCTTCAAGTAACCTTGGTTGTCTTAGACCCCTGGTGTCTTCAAGACCCCTGTTGCTCAAAACCCCGGGTTGGTCGTCAAGAACCCCTGGTTGTCTTCAAGACCCCCCTTCCACGTCTTCAAACCCCATTGTCTCAGACCCCTTTTCTTCAAACCCTTGGGTTGTCCCTTCAACAACCCTGGGTTGTCTTCAGACCCCTGGTTTCGTGCAAAACCCCTGGTTTGTCTTCAAGACCCTGGGTCTCAAACACCTTGTTGACTTCAAGACCCAGGGGTCGGCCAAACCCCTTTTCGTCAAGATCCTCAGTTGTCTTCAAACCCCTGTTTTGTCTTCAAGACCCCCTGGTGGCTGCAATGACACCCTGGTTGTCTTCAAGAAGACCCATGATCTTACAAACCCCTCGTCGTCAAGACCCCTGGTTGCTTTAAAACCCCTGTTCTTCAAGACCCCCTCTGCTGGCTTCAGACCCCTGGTTGTCTTCAAGACCCTTGTGGTCTTTAAGACCCCTGGTTGTCTTCTAGACCCATGTGTGCTTCAAAGCGCCCCTGTTGTCTCAAGACCCCGGTTTCTCAGACCCCAGGTTTCTTCAAACCCCTGGGGTTCTTCAAGACCCCTGGTTTTTATCTTCAACCCCTAGGGTGTCTTCAAGACCCCTGGTTTCTTCAAGACCCCCGTGTCTCAAGACCCCTGGTTTCCTTCAAACCCCAGGGGCTTCTAGACCCCTGGTGTCTTCAAGACCCCTGTTGTCTTCAAGACCCCAGTTTCTTTCAAGACCCCTGGTTGTCTTCAAGACCCCTTGTTCTTCAATACGCCCTGGTTGTCTGCACACAAGACCCCTGGTTTCTCAAGACCCCAGGTATGTCTTCAAGACCCCTGGTTTCTTCAAGCCACCCTGTTTCTTCAAGACCCCTGGTGGCTTCAAGACCCCCTTTGTCTGTATTGGGACCCCAGTTGTCTTCAGACCCCTGTTGTCTTCAAACCCCTTTTCTCCTTCAAACCCCTGCTTCTTCAAGACCCATGTTTTCTTCAAACCCCCAGGTGGCGGCAGAGCCCCTGTTTGACTTCAAGACCCGGTTGTCTTCAGACCCCTGCTGTCTTCAATACCCCTGTTGGACGTCAAGACCCCTGATGTCTTCAAGACCCCTGGTTTCTTCAAGACCCTGTTGTTTCTTCAAACCCCTGGTTGTCTTCAAGACCCCTGATTCTTCAAGACCCCGGCTGGCTCAAGAAAACCCCTGTTGGCGTCAAGACCCCTGTTGTCTTCAAACCCCTGGTGTCTTCAGACCCCCTGGTTGTCTTCAAGACCCCTGTTGTCTCAAGACCCACTGCTTCTGTCTATACCCTTTCTTCAAGACCGCCTTTGCTTCAAGACCCCTGGCGTATTCGACCCCTGCTGTCATCAAGACCCCTGGTTGTCTTCAAGTCCCCTGTTGTCTTTCAAGACCCCTGGTTGTCTTGAAGACCCCTGCTTCGTCAAGACCCCTGGCTGTCTTCCAAACCCCAGGTTGTCTTAAAACCCCTGGCTGTCTCAAGACCCCTGGTTGTCTTTAAAGAACCCCTGATTGTCTTCAAGACTTTCTGGAAGTAAACTCCGTAGGTCCACATTGCTCAGTTAATAATAATTACGGGAATTAAGACTCAAATTCATTCAAATTCACATTAGATTAAAGATCCATTTCAATTTCTAAATAAATCCAATATATTTTGGGCCAGAATTGAGGAGGGTTTCCATGCGGGTTTAATAACGCACGAAGGAACTAGTCGACTGTAATAAACTTCTGGTCCTTATATATCCACCTAGAACCAGATAATGCCACCTTAACCCACTAAACCACCTAGACGCCGTTAAAAAACCACCCTAAACCTCATTAAACAACCTGGGCCCTAAAAACACTCACCAAATACACCAATATACCAAACCTAGAACCCCATGCTAAACCACCTAGACCCAGCTAAACCACCTAACCCCAGCTAAACATCTGACCCCTAGTTAATACGTTCACCCACTAAAACCACCTAGGACCCTAAGCTAAACCACCTAGAACCCAGTCTAAACCACCGAGATAGATCCCAGCTTAACCACCTTTTCCCCAGTGAAGAGATTTGCCACACGAAGTGGCTAGTTTTATTGTGCACCCCATATCATCCCTATGGACGGAGCTCGAGAGCATATGGATACACAAAGGCCTTTGACTAGCCCCAAGTTAACAGGAATACTAGGATTTATATCGACATATCTATAGTTCACTTATCTGTTACATAGCGAAATTTAGGAAATTGCTTAGTAATCTGGTATCTTCGTTTCATTAATAAGAGACTTTTGACATTCACATAGTATAATTATACTGTCCTCTGGTATTCCTCAATAATGACAATTAAGCACATAGTGTTCAGACAGTGACCATATCCTGAGCACATATTTACATTTATTTGATCTTCATCTGTGGTCTCCCAAACGGCCAGAAGACTTTAACCAAGACCTAATTCTGGCCACTACACATCAGTCAGTACGTGTAACCAAGCCTAAGGCGAGCCACTACTACATCATCCAGTATTGTAACCATAGCCTAAGCCTCCACTACAACATCAGTCAAGATCTGTTCAAATTGCAAGTTCTCCTTAAACATACTTATCTACGTCATGATACATAGTGGTTAATCGACTCACTTCAACGGCATTCCCAATAACAATCATTTTTCATAATTACTTCTCTCCTAATAATTAGTTCCTAATGCTAGACAACACAGTTTATACAAGTTTATATTCTACATTTCTCCTTCTCGTTACTCTTCTGCTAACAATCACTTTATCATAAGGATAATCCAATGGTGGGAGTGGATTCATTACAATTTACATTAATTCCTTTGTCCTAATTGGTGAGCATCCTATAAACTGGCTTCGCATCCCCAAGACATGTTTTGTGGATCATTATATGAGCCAAGTGCCTCAATGATGACATAGAATCATAATGAGGAAGAGATGCAAGCTCATGTCATAGTTTATGCTTTAGCACCATTAGAGGATGCAAACAATCGTTTTCAGTTGTCCCCCATTTTAAATTCGTTTCGCCTACCCTCAACAAATTTTTGATCGGTCTTAATCTTGGAGTGGGCTACAAAGCAGAGCAGGCCCTAGCCAAAACGCCGATGGTGATTGCACATCATGTATATAAACTTTGAGAACTTTTACTACCAGCTAGGGAAAATTTTCTTCTAAGACCATTTGCTCTAACAAAGAGTTTAAGGAAGGGTTACTACAATGATCTTCATTGGGAGGAACTTGTAGGTATGAGATATTAAATAACACATCTTCCATGAGGGGAAATGCCTTGTTGCTACATGATACAGTTCATGGCAGGTTATAAAAACTTAATGCAATGCAAACTTTTTTCACAATCATTTAGACTGTGTGTATTTACCTCTAACACTTGGTAAGATTCACTGTGACTGTCTGTTCGAGTTCGCTACATTCCTAATTACCGAGTACAGTGTTATTTCAACAATCAATCACTGATACAGAAAACAAACTCCGTCCTCATGTTAAAAATTTTGTAGAACTGGACAGCCAATAATTGTCCTAGAGCTTCATTTTGCTATTAACTCCAAGCCAGGAGAGAACTTTTCTCTAGCTATTGCAACATGGAGCACCTAAATCTATTAAGTACATACATAAGCTATTACACTCATTCTCACTTTTTCTCACATTAACGCGCACGCATAGTGTTGGATGTAGCCACAACAGCTTTGAAGCATTTAAGCCTATCTTTACATTTCCCTTGTTTATGATTGCTGTATCGTGATATTTGTTAAAGTAACACTCTACACCAAGAATACTGAGATTTTAAGTAGCTAATATTGTCACCCCTGCATACTGATGGTGGGGATTCGGATTGGCTGTGGTTAATATCGTAGTTTTAGAGGAAGAATATGTTAGCCTAGCGATGACAAATGCTTAACTTCATTATGAAGGTTTTCATCTTCTTATGCCCTGTTGAATGGATTCCTGATATCATCTGCATACTTATAAGCTAGATTTTAGAGTGAGGCAGTAGAGGCATTTAGGAGTGCATTAATCAGAATATTAATAGCATGGGACTAAGAACTCCTCCAGCGGTGTACCTATAGACATGTTGCGTGAAAGCACTTCTGAACCTTGTAAAGACAAGGATATCCTAATTTACAGTATCCTATTAATCCAGCAAGTAACTACCACCAATAGTTATATGTGGCTAGTTCATTGAGTATAACGGTCTGTTTGTCAATATCAAATGTCAGATTTTGATCAAGAAAAGTGTAAAACTATAAAGAGGTGTGGTGCAGTGAGAAAGTGGAAATCAAGTCCTCACACGTTTACCTTTCATGAACCCATATATGGTATGGGGGGTGGATAGTTGTTCTCTATCTATTCCATCCTTTCAGCATCAATCTATTCAAAGGGTTACAAAGACAACTAGTTAAGGAATCGCCAAAGGTAATCAGGCTGTGGCTTAGGGAAAGGCACATGAACTACTGTCCAGAAGTAGAGTACCCCTCAAAAGGAACTGAGATTATGACATGCCAACAAAGGAGTATCAAGGCACGTGCCTTAAGTTCTGAAATATCAAGGTTAACCATCCTCGCCAGCATTATCGACCCTTGTTTTAATGCATTATCTAAATCGATACCGGTAAAGAAGGCAATCCCTCCATCAATAATTTGGCTCAAAATAATCAGTTTCAACAATCTTCAGAATACGCTCTAAATTTTGTCGTATAAAAGAAGGCTTTCATGCCTGAATTTTTGGACCAGCATTTATAAGTCATTCGCGTTTTCATTTAAGGATGACAACATGGCCAGTCTTTGTCCTGTTATTTATTTATACCTTTCCAACCAAACCAAGGGTGGACCTATTTAATCCACGAACAAACTGTTCCCATTTCCTGTTGCCTAATGCTTCCTTTCGATTGCCTTGGCATTGTTGACTGCAGCTTGAACGTTCTTGAGCATTCTGGTTCTACTTTCACGTATTCTTTACCAATCCTCCTAGCTCATGTGTTAGATTGCGCAGACTGTGGATCATTATAGTATTTCATTGGTTTTTTAGTGTATTTATATGGAGTCTTTGTTTTCCTGAGTCCTCCCTCTGGATCGGTGAGAACTCTCGTCATTAGTGGATAAATTAAATACATCATAATGTTTGTGTGCCAGTGCTCGTATTTCTTATACCATTGATCCAAGTTTATAAAGGTGTCTCTGTTCTTTTGGAGAATAATTTCCTCCTCCTGTAGGTACCCATGATTGGCTGATAGTGATCAGATACATTTGTTTAGCAGTGGGGGGTTTGGGAAGTGTTGCATATAGAAGATCATCATCATGACAGAGTCATGCATCGAATATGATGTATTAAATCCAAGACACAGAGCGAAGTATGCCACCATAAATGTTAGTAGCTCAGTATGCCGCACAATTCGAACATTAATCATGCTCATTTAGCAACTCACTAGTTTTAGTTCCATTGGTGTTGTTAGAGACCCACCAATATTCTTATTGTGCTTGCATAAAGTCCCAGAATATGGTAATTCACATTGATCATCTGTAAAGCATACGGTCGAAGCTGGTTCCTGGGGCATAAGATTAAAAAATGTGTATGGAAAAATCGCCTGCATATACTTTCACCATGATACTGCATGTTAAACTCGACTCTGCAAGAAAGGAGTGAATGTGCAAGTGCGTTCGACATACGTCACACAACAGTTGGTGACCTTAAGGTTAAACCATATCCCAGCAATTGTGAGGTCTCCATCTTTCAATCTACATTTCCTGCAAAACGATATACATCAATATTATTGCTGCACGAATAGGATGTAAAGTCAGGCAATCCGCTTCCCATGAAGCAATGTTTCCAGGAAAAGATTTGTAAATGTATCCATTGGTATGAGTTATAGTAAACAATCTCTTGCTCATAAATGTAAAAACATTAGTCTTTGACTACAGTGTGCAATACTAAGAGCAAATAGCATAGTTTTGTACGTCTTTTTTTTTTTTTGGTTTTTTTTTTTTTTTTGTTTTTTTTTTTTTTTTGTTTTGTTCTTTTTTTTTTTTTTATTTTTTGTTGGGTTTTTTTTGTTTTGTTGTGTTTGTTTTTTTTTTTTTTTTTTTTTTTTGTTTTAATTGTTTGGGGGGTTTTTTTGTTTGTATTTGTGGTGGTTTTTTTTTTGCTTCTAACCGGTATTTTTTAAGCTTTTTCCTGGATGACTGTTATAGCTATTTTGAAGCAAGAGGTAGCTTCTTTCTCACAAATGGGGTGCGGAACTGATCAGATGCTGCACTGTACATCTCACCATCTTTAGAAGTATCATTCTGAGATTACATATATTTATTAAACATTCTCAGAGTCGTAATAAATAGTGGTGAGTATACCCCGCCTTCCCCCCAGTTAAACCACCTAATCCCCATTATACACCATAGTCCCAGCTAAAACCACTTAAGAGCCCCAACTAAACCACCAAGACTCGAGACTAAATCAATCTAGACTCAGCTAAGCTACTAGACCCCATAAACCAACCTAGACCCCAACTAAACCACCTAGACCCCAACTAAACCACCTTCACCCCAGCTAAACTACCTAGCCCCCACCTAGCACCACCCAGCCCCCACCTAGAACCACCTAGACCACCACCTGTAACAACAAAAACCACACTGTGTCATACCCTGGTAGCCAGCTGTGTGACCACTGTTGCAGCTGGTTGACCTGGTCAGAGAGGCCTGGAACTGCCCGCAGTAGGGCACTCTGCATCAGCCTGTGGGCACTGTAGCAAATACCCCGTGGCACCTGACACTATCCTTACGTCCTGTAATGCACCCTGCAAATAAATAGAATATACATATGTGAATATACATATGTGAATATACATATGTGCATATTACCACAGGAGGAGTTGAATGATAGCTCTAGGCCTCTTGTGATTCAATCAATCCATCAGAGGCTTGTGGTGTTGCAGAGAGTCCAAGCAGATTCTTGGGTCACCACTCCCAGAGTAACAGGATTAGCACCAAGCAGAGTGCCTAGCAGGGTGCCAAGCAGAGTGCCAAGCAGGGCACCAAGCAGGGCACCAAGCAGGGTGCCAAGCAGGGTGCCAAGCAGAGTACCAAGCAGGGCACCAAGCAGGGTGCCAAGCAGGGCACAAAGCAAGGCACCAAGCAGGGTGCCAAGCAGGCTTGGCACCCTGCTTGGTGCACATCTTGGCACTCTGCTTGGCACCCTGCTTGGTGCCCTGCTTGGCACCCTGCTTGGCACCCTGCTTGGTGCCCTGCTTGGCACCCTGCTTGGTGCCTTGCTTTGTGCCCTGCTTGGTGCCCTGCTTGGTGCCCTGCTTGGCACCCTGCTTGGTGCCCTGCTTGGCACCCTGCTTGGCACCCTTCTTGGTGTTTAAGTGTTTAGATAAAACTGTTATCGATGTGTTTGGGTTTAATTCTATTAAAACGGTTTAGTGCAATGTTTTAATTTGCTCAGGAATGTGGAGGTGAATTGATTTATAAACCGGTTTATGTTTTAATTAAAACTCTGATAATTATGAAGCCTCAGCGTCCGATTCTGACTATCAAATTTTGTTCTGATTGACACAATCAGGTAGTTTGATCAGACTGAGACACTCAGATTGCATTCTGATGGGGCAATCAGATCAACTAAATTGTGAAACTCAGATTTCATCCTGATGGCCAATTATTAACTAGATTCCCACTCAGATTGCATTCTGATGGCCGAGTTGGACAGGTCAATCAGAACATGCCACTCAGGGGACAATTGTGATAGGCCTCTCACCTTAAAGAGGAAATGTTTGGCATTACGCTGGCCTAGGTAGAGTGCCATCTGGGCATCGTGGGCAGCCAGGTCCTGGGCAGCATCTGAGGGGTCCTGGGCAGGCGCTAGGGCAGCTAGGGCAGTCAGGTTGTGCTAGGAGGAGGAGCTAGGCCCGGTATACCCGTGAACAATCTACCCAGACTTCTACCTGGGTACCACTGACCACCACTGATACCTGGGTACCAAGATAACAATATTAGTGCCCTAGGATAGCATTCCTGATACTTGGGTACCAAGGTAACAATATTAGTGCCCTAGGATAACATTCCTGATACCTGGGTATCAATATAACAATATTAGTGCCCTAGGATAATATTCCTGATACCTGGGTATCAAGATAACAATATTAGTACCCTGGGATAACATTCCTGATACCTGGGTACCAAGATAACAATATTAGTACCCTAGGATAACATCCCTGATACCTGGGTACCAAGATAACAATATTAGTACCCTAGATAACATCCTGATACCTGGGTACCAAGATAACAATATTAGTCCCTAGGATAACATTCCTGATACCTGGTACCAATAATAGCCACCTAAATAACAACTAGACACAGTACCGTGAACTGAAAAGTACATATAACCCGCACCCAGGAGAGAGGAGCTGACCACGATGGTTTTAATAGATATTCTAGTAACATCCCGAATGGGTCAAGTTATATTTTGTAGGGGTTCGGGAACCCGGGACACAAGATAAAAATTTGTGTAGGATTAATTATATGGTAGTAA